GGTGGAGGTCGGGGAGGGGTGCGGGGCGGCCGACTATGCCGGACGGGGTCGGCGGCTGCGCGGGCCGGTGTGGGCGGGGCGACGTGGAAGGGGCGGCGGGGGTGCGGTGAAGGTCGGGGCACCACAGGGGAGGGGTGTGTGGCGGCGGGGCGCCCGGTTACGACAGATGGGGTCGGCGGCGGCGGCGCGGTTGTGGGTGGGGAGGGAACGAGAGCGAGAGAGAGTGGAGAGAAGAGATAGAGGACGGGGCGGGACAGCCGTTAACGTACCCGCCTCTTTGCCGTCCGCCACGGTCGGCAAACATTCTTTGCCGTCTGCTTGCGGACGGCAAAGAGGTGGGCCGATGGGCTTGGGTTGGTTACACAATAACTGGACCCAACAACCTCTTTGCCGTCCGCTACCGGACGGCATAGTTTCTTTGCCGTCAGCCAGCGGACGGCAAAGAGTTGGCTGATAGCAAACACCTTGTTTGCCATCAGCCACTTCTTTGTCGTCCGTTTTCTTGTTGCTGACGGCAAAGACCTCTTTGCCGAGATGGCGGACGACAAATAAGCTAATTCCAGTAGTGTATGACCCACGATCTAGCAAGGCATACTTTTTGTTTAAGGGTTCTTTGTACTCGGGGAGGCGGGTTCTCCAAATTTTATATTGCATGATGCTTTACATGATGTAAGTCTGTTTAAACCCCAATTAATCGCACCATATTCCTGTCAATAAATAATATTTATTTTAGGAAAAAAGGTAAATTCCAGTTTTAACCCCATATTTTGGTATTTTTTATGCTAATTACCCCATTTAACATATTTTCATACAGGTCATCCATTTAGTGATTTCTCCAATTTATTACTCTTTTAATGTATTTTAGGTCGCACATGGCTCCTCTACTTCTTTTGCTGGAAAAGTGCCGTTGGAGTTATTTCTAAAATGGTGCAACCTAGAAGCAAATATGGTGAATAAGAATAAGGTGAAATCAACGAATAAGGAGTTGCATGACATGAATAAGAAACTCGTCAAGGTGGGACGGTGTGTTTGTACACGAGATGAGCTTGCAATGTTCAAGTAGAGGGTAAAAACAGGAATTCATTCGGGGGGAAAACAGAAGCAGAAGGATAGCATTTGGCCCATACAGAAAATGTGAGCCCACAAAGGGCCTATAGATCTGGGGCAGTCGCAAACCACTTCCTTCGTTCGGCTCATCCTCACGTCAAGGCCCGCTTTCCCCCACCCTCTCGGAGTATCGCGGCGTCCGGGAAGCAAGGCGATACGATGCCGGGGAGCGCCATCAGCGGAGGCGCGGCAAGGGCGGCCGCGGTCGCGTGGTGGCTGCAGCGCCACCAGCGACTGCCTCCGCCGGCGGACCTCCTGCCACGCAGCCTCCTTGACCGCGCGGTGGAGCTCGCCAGCAAGACCGCCGCCGCCGCCGCCCCGGAGCTGGACCCGGACCTGCCCTGCTCCCTCGGCTCGTCCTCCCTCCCTGACCTCTGCGACGACTTGGTGATTGGTAATTAGTACGTACGGATCTGGCAGGAGGGCGGCGGATTCGTTGTGCGATTCCGCGATGTTCTCAGATTGGATAGCCAGAGCTAGACTACCCTAAATGTAATGTTGCTCTAGCATGTCAATAACGGTCCCTGGTTATGCTTGATTCCGTCCTTGTTTGAAACTCATGTCTATTCACCGAGTTAACTGTGGGTCCTTGGAATACCTGATTTCTGCCTATGTCTTTATATAACCCATATGTATACTTTGTTTTGGTAAAGAAAGCTGCTACCTAGAAATTCTCATGTTATTCCAGTACGCAATACGAATTTGATTTGGGCTACGAAAGTATGAAAATATACATAGGTGTGTCAACGATAAATGAATTGACTGAAACAATAGAGTTTGTGTTGCATATGGGCCAGGCTCCATCCTAGTTCAAGTATGTGCGCTGACCCTGCATTGTATTGAACGTACTTCCTTTACATATAGACTATATATGTGCAGTGCGGTAATTGCTGGAAATGGCACAATCGCTCAGAAATCTTGTAAAATGCTCCAGCTCTTCTGTAGTGTTGGACTACTAACTGTCAGGGTTTTGTATCAGTAACATCTCTTCCTTCCTACTGGTTTTCTCTGCCAGCCTGCCTTGCAGATAAAAATGTTTCTGTCAATCTGGCTTGTAAGCAGTTCTACCAGACCGGTTATGCCGTGTGATGAGTGTGGACTGTCAAGTTCAGTACTCGGCTTGTGGGGATATAGCTGGAGATCCATGGAGCAAGCTGCTACACATAAGTGAGGAGATGTAGGGCATTGATAAAAAAAAGGTAAGACGTGCACTTTGTAATCACATTAGGTATACATTATCGCATTTTACATCAAATCCTCTCCTGCCTAGACCTCTTCTTACCGAGCACCGCGTGCTTGTCTGTCCGTGACACGACGAAGCTCGCCAAGTAGGTGTAGCAGGGCGGTATCCTGGACCTCCATGCCACTGCTTGGAATGTCCCTTCAGACATAACTTGCCCAGACAAAACATCTTGTGCCGTTATCCTGGGAACCTCACTGATCTGGGGAGAGGGCTCATCATAAATATCACGCATCACGACGACATTGCTTGTCTTGGCCATTGTCCACATGTACAGAGGCTGGTCCTTCTGTAGGAGATTGGTCGGGTGCTCGCCAAACATGCTGAGGTGCTTGCTTGCGAAATCTCTCAAGCATCTCAGCACTCTGCGCCAAAACTGTATGTCAAGATTGGTTCTCAGTAAGCTGGCAACGATGTTCGCTGCCATGAATGATCTGTTCATGTGGAAGGCGATCTCCATGCCGAGGGCTGCCATGCTAGGATGCTCACCAGGGTTTGTGCTTCCGAATGCAACCGTCTTGAAGAAATACCAGTAAGCTTCTTGGGACAAAGATTTCAGCATAAGAGACTCTGCCGTTCCTAATGATGCTATCTTGTCTGAACGGCTGGTGAGTATGATTTTACTGCCTGGCGTCAGGTGGCTTGCTGCCGAGGTGTACAACCCCCTCCATGTTTCCTCGTCCATGTCCCCTGCTAGCTCAATCACAGCCAGTGAGTCTCCATGCGGGCTGGAGGCAAGGTTCTGATGCTTGATCACACCACTACCTTTTAGAGTGGCCAAGTTTCCACCTTTGAGATCATTCCCGCTGAAGAAGACGATCAACGAGAAGCGCCTCCGCACCCTCTCGTCAAGGCAGACATGCTCAACAAGTGTACTCTTGCCGACTCTCGCTGGACCGATTATGGGCAGCACACCCAGACTTCCATTCCTCACAGCCTCCCTACAAAGCAGAAAGCTCAAAATTGTCTCTTTTTCCATCTGCCGGCCAAACATAACCTGATCACAAAACAAATACGCGCTGTAAGGTTGCCGGGAGATCCGAGGATAGCTGGCCAAGAACATCACGAACTCCTGCATGTCACCAATCACTCTCTCAAGGCTGCTGAGCATCTTGTCAAGATTGCTGCAGCTCCCCGCATCAAGCACCTCGTCCATACTTGGGGCATCGCACACAGAGAAGAAGGTGCGTCTGAAACTGGACAGGGCAAGCGAACGGCGAGTGCTCACCTCGCCATCGGCCTTGTCCCTGTGCGCTCGGTATCTGAAGGTGTCGAGCGTGTAGTAGCCTCTGTACATACCTCGTCTCAACATCTGGAGCTGCTGGAACATCACCTGGTTGGTGATGTGCCTCCCCTCAGCCTCCTCGACGGTGGCATCGATCCTTAGCAGCACTGCCCGTAGCCTCTGGAGCTTCTCCTCCTCTGCTCCCTTGGACTGCAGGTATCTCTGGGTTACCATGGACAGGGCTCTGCTGACAAGATCACCCACGATTGCAGAGAGAAGCGGCTCCATTTTGGAAGGCCCCTGCAATGTTCCTGGTGGGATAGATGAATCCACCAAAGAATGGAAGAGGGAGAGGCCAACTTGTGGTTCGGGTTGAGGCATAGAAGTCGTCGGATGGACCCGTCGTAACATTGACAGCAAGACCGTCGAAATTGACCCAATACGACAGTGAGAAGAAGGTGTTTTTGTTTAAAAAAAAAGCAATATTCTTCCCTCAAAAAAAGAAGCAAGAAGCAATATTCTTTATTTCGATATACATGAAAAAAATGTACTCCCTCCGTCTAGGTGAGTAAGTCATTTTAGGTTGTGCACCATGACCAAGGAGGAGGAGAAAACGAGAGACCTTAATGTTTATTTGCTAATTAATAGCATTGCATACAATGAACTAACCACTGCATGTTGTGTTTGGTAGTCTCAAGTCATTAAAAGCATGTACATTCCTCATCTCTTATTGGTTGATATGTCAAGAAACAAGAAACGAGGTAGAAGTTAATGCATCGCGCCTAAGTGTTTTGGGATTATTTGGTTTTTGTAAGATGACTTACATACCTAGACGGAGGGAGTATCTAAGATATAGAACATTGATTCATGTCCCAATCAAGCCTTCTAAATTTACCAACCAAATTACTCCCTTCGTCCCAAAATAAATGTCGCTGATTTAGTATAATTTTATGGTAAATCGGTGACACTTATTTTGAGACGGAGGGAGTACTAAAGACCCCCCACACGAAAAGGAGAAAAAACATGGCTGGAAATGACATTTAAGACAGCTAGTACAATATGTTGTCTATTGACTTTAAACCCTAAAACGGTGTTATAATTTGGGGCGGAGCTAGTATCATGGATCTGTAGAACTTCACAAAGATTTAAGAGTGATGAATGGTCACAAGAGCATTCTCTAGAATGCCGAGTTTCTCCTCTTTATGAAAAGATTGCGGCGGTCAGCAAGAATCTCAATTTGAGTTGTTCACATCACACCTCCGCTAGCATCCTAAGCGTCAGTTATTTTTGCATATCTGAATCCAGCTTTTTGCATATCTGAATCCAGCGTGGACGGAACTGGAGTTTGTCCTGATACTCTTTGTGAAAATATGGTTTGCAGCAAGTAGGATATATACAACTCTCTCCTATCCAACTTATTATGGATCGAAGGGAGGTAGTAACAAGTTTCAATGGGGTTTGTTTGTTTGTTTCTAAAATGTAAAATCCAGATGGTTTTCAGCACAAAATTGCAATGTATACCAGGTCCTCTGATACTGATTGAAGTATTACCAGTCGTATTCTCCTGTGTGCTTTGACTTGCTACTTTCGGACGTTGACAGCCAGCGTGCGATCTAATGGTTGGCGACTTGACATTTCCCTCGCGGCTACTCCAAGGCTCTTTCCAACCTCAGTCACAGATCTTTTGGCTGAAACCAGCACTGCCGATTCATGAATAAAGTCTTTTACTCCCTCCATAGAGTGTTTCTTACACTAGTGTAGTGTGAAAAATGTTTTTATATTACGGGACGGAGGGAGTAAAAGAGAGCAAACGAACAAGGCCACTCCCTTTCCCTTCTACCCAAAGGATTCAAGATGGAGGTGACCGTCTCTGCAGTTTTTGGCGATATTATAAGAAGGCGTACGATAAAGTCAAATGGTTGTTCCTTCAACAGGCCTTACGCATGAAGGATTTTGATGAAGTTTGGCGACGCCAGGTAGAATCTTTCACGCAAAAAGGGAGTGTTGGAATTAAAGTGAATGACGATATAGGTCATTATTTTCAGACATACAAGGGCCTGAGACAAGGTGATCCCATGTCTCCTATCTTGTTCAACATTGTGGTTGATATGTTGGCGATCCTGATAGGTAGGGCAAAGGAGGCCGGTCAGGCGGGTGGCTTGGTGCCTCATCTAGTTGATGGTGGTGTGTCCATCCTGGAGTACGCTGATGATACAATCATCTTTGTGGAGCACGACTTGGCAAAAGCGAGAAATATGAAGTTAGTGTTATGCTTATTTAAACAATTGACCGGATTGAAGATTAACTTTCATAAAAGCGAGTTGTTCTGCTTTGGTAGAGCCAAGGACGAACAAGAGGCTTATAGGCAATTGTTTGGATGTGAGTTGGGGGCTTTACCTTTTACGTACCTAGGTATGCCCATTCACCATCGTAAGCTAACAAACATCGAGTGGAAGTGCATTGAGGATCGGTTTGAGAAAAAACTGAGTTGTTGGAAAGGAAAAGTCATGTCATATGGAGGCCGATTGATTCTAATTAATTCAGTGCTCACGAGTATGCCTATGTTTCTCTTATCCTTCTTTGAAGTCCCAGTTGGGGTTAGAAAAAGGCTGGACTTTTATAGATCCCGATTCTTCTGGTAGAGTGATGAACTTAAAGAAAATACCGACTCGCCAAATGGGATATCATCTGTCGACCAAAGGACCAGGGGGGCCTTGGTATTGAGAATCTTGAAGTCAAGAACAGATGTCTTCTCAGTAAGTGGCTGTATAAGTTGTCAGTTGAGACTGAGGCAACGTGGGCGCAGATTCTCCGTAGTAAGTATCTGCAGTCCAAGGCTTTGTCCCAGGTGACAGTGAGACCAACTGACTCGCCGTTTTGGAAGGGGCTTATGAGAGTCAAATTTGCCTTCTTTAATAGAACAAAGTTTATTGTCGG